GCCAAACTTTGCCTATCAGGCGCATTTTTGGATATTTATACCCATATGCTTTTTTTTTTGAAAAAAATTATAAGAATTATAAATTTATTTTTAGAAGGGAATGGAATTTAATGGTTTTGGTTCATGCATGCTTTTAAACCGAGGGATTCTTGTGAATGGGATGCCCTCCACGTATTGGAGCAGAGCCGACTTTTGGGTCTCTTTCAATGAGCTCCATCCTGGAATTTGATTGCCCTGCAAAATATCGCTCAGATCCTGTAAAAAGTCTGTCACGAGTCGTGTTAGATTTAGATACCCAGTTCTATTTTCCGGATTCGTCACACCATGCCGGCATATTATATAATGTTGTTGTTACGCACAGGGATTAAGAAAATGCTAATCCTAACTTGAAAGAATTAATCAATCGTAACTCAAATAATTTAATATAAACCCGACCTGTTCAAATTATGTAAAAACTTGAAAAAATACCATCTATCTATTTGTAAAATTTCCCCTTTCTACGTTAAAAAGAAGTTCACTCAGTCAAATGCTAGTAAAACTAAGAACCAAATCCTGATTCCTCAATGGTGGAGCTACCTGCTTGTCTTCAGGGGGCCAATACTTATAGCCTATCAAAACTTTCAACATTACTATATATTTATTTATTTAAAAACCGAACAGAGCCACCTAAACGGTATGAGATCAGGATCACCTCAAGCTTGCATGTGCCTCCACTTTTACAAGTTCTATAATCAACGGGATCTAGTTTAGTGAAAAATGACATTGACTTACAGACCAATGGTCTTATGTTCAAATTCCCATAGCATCTTAGTAGTGTGTGTGTGAGAAACTACCCTCACCTTGTAGTTTATACTACAACTTGTATTTTTTTATTTAAAAATCAATATAAATATTATACCAAAAAATAAGAACTACAAAGAATAATTTATTTTTTCAATGCAAAACATTAATTAAAGTTATTGAAAACATATTTATCGTTGCACAATTGAATATTTATATATGTCAACGAGGGTTGGTTGAGTTGGTAAGAATCGTTCTCTTCGATATCAAGGTCTAGGTTCAAGTCCCGCTGTCGACAATCCCTCTTGATGGGTAATTTGTAAAAACCAAAAATTGGGCTAAGATCCCATATGTAAGTCCTCAAAGAGACCTTAGTATGCCCTGACTTTGGGATGGGGTAGCCTCCCCTCCCCTTATAACATGTTTTCTTTCCCAAAAACACGCACAATACAAACGAGGGCATCTACTACTATTTTCTAATTAATACGTATTCCCCACTGAGAAAAAGACAGGATAGAGCATGTTGTTTTAGAAAGAGCAACGCCTAAAGCATAATCATTGTTGTTGAAAATTCCTCCACTCATTTTAGTTTATGATTATTTCAGGAATGTTATCGACCTTTCTTCTTTCCTTTTACTTTTATTTATTTAGGGGTTGTTTTTTTTTTGGGGGTCGTTGTTTGGTTCGCTGAATCAACTTGGTAGGAATGAAAATAAGGAAATAGACTTTCTATTATTTCCATGTTTGGTTTATGAAGTATTAGGAATGAAAATTTGTTGAGTTTTCCAATAATATCCTTTATTTTTATATTCAAACTTATTAATTAAAATTGGTATTTGAAAATTAAAATAGAGGTAATTTAATCTAAAAAGGGCATTAAATGTTTTTCTAAGTGGAGGGAAAAAATTCCAAAGAGAGCCAATGGTACTTGAGTGCTAGAGTGCGTTAATGGGTGTGAATACACGTGACATAGAGTGAATGAGAAATACAAGAGGGAATGTAGCTAGCATTTTCCGTATTTGTTTTTACCATGGAAGGAAGGAAGGAAGGAAGGAAGGGAGGAAGGAAAGAAGGGGAAAGAGAGGGTGTTATTATTGGAGTGTTGATTAACCATGGTTAAGCCCAAAATATGTTCGTGTTAGGTGGGTTTGACCAGTCTGGTTTGGTAGGCGTTTGGTTCAGTCACACCCTCACACGCACACCCCATTTCATCTTCCCCCAACACACTTATAAGCCCTCCTTCCCTCGCTCCCTCCCTTCATAAAACTTCTCTCTCTCTCTCTCTATCTATCCCTCTCTCTCTTCAACTACCCCAACCACCACACCACGCATTTCCCTCTCGAATTCTCCCCACTACAGTCTCTACAGTTCCTACGGTGACTCTTCGGCCACGGGAATCCGGCTACTCTCCCCTACACGCTATCATTTCCCGCCACCGGATTCCGGGACACACCGCTGCCTCCTTGGAACCACCACCTTCTGTGCTCAGATGGATTCCTCGTCCAGCTCCATGAAAATCTCGCCATTGGATCTGATGGCGGCGATCATCAAGGGCAAAATGGACCCCTCCAACGCCTCCGCAGACTTCTCCGGCGCCCAGGTCACCTCCGTCATGCTCGAGAACCGCGAGTTCGTCATGATCTTGACCACCTCCATTGCCGTCCTAATCGGCTGCGTCGTCGTGTTGATTTGGCGGCGATCGTCGGCCCCTCCGAAGCCGCGAGTCATTCAGGCTCCCGCGCCCTTGATCGTGAAGCCTGAGCCGGAGGTCGACGACGGGACCAAGAAGGTCACCATCTTCTTCGGCACCCAGACCGGTACCGCCGAAGGCTTCGCGAAGGTCTGGTTTTACATCAGAACACTTCAATTTCAATCAATATCTTTGCTTTGTTAGCTCGTTTCATGGCTTGGTTTTACTTGTTGGATGTTGGTGTTTCTTTTTGTCTCAACGTTTTGTTTGATTCAAAATGCAGGCTTTGGCCGAGGAAGGAAAAGCTCGATACGAGAAGGTCACATTCAAAGTTGTTGATTTGGTATGCTTGCTTTTCATTTTAGTTTATGGTTTTTTTTTTTTTTGCTATGTTGCAATTGGTTTATTTATTTAAATATATTTGGGATGATGAAATTGGATGGTGTTGTTTACATGGTAGGACGATTATGCTGCTGATGACGAAGCATATGAGGAGAAATTAAAGAAGGAGAGCTTGGCATTTTTCTTCTTGGCCACGTAAGTTTAAAATTCAACTAGAAACTTTTTATTGAAAAAAGTTGATTGATTTATTGATTTTTTTAATTTTTTGGTTTCATAAATAACATGTTTGTTTGGTGGTGGATGCAGATATGGTGATGGTGAGCCAACCGATAATGCTGCCAGGTTTTACAAGTGGTTTACGGAGGTAAATTTTATTTTTGGTAATTTCGTTAATATATTTTTTCTGGTATTGTTATTATGGTGCGCTATATTTTAGATAAAAAATTATTATTATTATTATTAATGTGCGAATTGTGATGATGGTTATAGGGGAATGAGAGAGGAGAGTGGCTTCAGAAGCTTCATTACGGGGTGTTCGGCCTTGGAAACAGGCAGTATGAGCATTTCAACAAGGTTTGGAATGAACTTTAGTTTATAAGTAAATTCTATTTTCATGTCACTCTAGCTTTTGGAGCTTGACTTTTACTTATAAATTCTTTGGTTTCCTGTTGGATCGTGTTTGATTTGTATATAATTTTTCCTGTTGTTAATCAGGTTGCTGTGGTTGTCGATGATGTCCTCACTGAGCAGGGTATGCACCATCTTTCTTTTATTTTTTGTTGACTTTTTTCCTTTCTGATGGAAGTCATGTGGGAGTGGGACCTTTTGGATTTTGAGATGATTCACGTCGCCAGGATGTTACTTTAGCTAACAAGAATGTTACCATTTTCAGGTGCGAAGCGACTTGTTCCAGTGGGTCTTGGAGATGATGATCAATGCATTGAGGATGACTTCAGTGCATGGTACTGCAAAGTTTGATAGCCATTTGAGTTAATAGCTTGAGAGCATAACCATTCATCAGTTATTTATTAAATTCTCATACATATCTACATTGACTGATGCTCTTCTAGGCGGGAGTCTGTTTGGCCTGAGTTGGATCAGTTGCTTCGAGATGAGGATGATGCAATGACACCAATTTCTACACCTTACACTGCTGCTGTGTTGGAGTATCGAGTTGTAATGGAAGATTCTGCAGATGCATCAGTAGAGAATAAGAGCTGGAATAATGCAAATGGTCATGCTGTCATTGATGCTCAACATCCATGCAGGTGAGGGAAAAAAAAACTTTTTAAGGTTCGAAGATTGCAGCTTGTTCTGTACTTTTCCCGTAAATGTTATTTGACATTTCTTTTTGCTGCATGAAGAGCTAATGTGGCTGTGAGAAAGGAACTTCATACTCCTGCATCTGACCGTTCTTGCACCCATCTCGAATTTGATATTGCTGGCACTGGACTTACGTAAGTTGCTTTGCCGTGGAAACTGTTTTCATCGTCTTCTGAGAATGGAAGCTATCATACGTTTTAAAAGAAAGTGGGAAGTAAAATGCCCACATGGTGCTTAATACATTCTTGTCTCTTTTCTCTTTCACAGATATGAGACTGGGGATCATGTTGGTGTCTACTGTGAGAATCTTCCTGAAATTGTGGAAGAGGCGCTAAGCTTGTTAGGCTTGTCGCCAGAAACATATTTCTCGATACACACTGATAAGGAGGATGGCACACCACTTAGTGGAAGCTCCTTGGCACCTCCTTTCCCACCGTGCACACTAAGAACAGCACTAACTCGATATGCTGATCTTTTAAGTTCTCCGAAAAAGGTTTGCTTTTACCCCCAATTATTTCCTTTTTAGTGTTGGTTGGTTCACAGTTTTTCTGATGAAAACTTGTGCGACTTTGGGTCCTTGGTTTTTTTCCAGTCTTCCTTACTCGCTTTAGCCGCTCATGCATCAGACCCAACTGAAGCAGACCGATTAAGACATCTTGCATCACCTGCTGGAAAGGTAGTAAAATCTATACTAAGTACCTTATGTTAATATTACTTCACTAATATCTTATTCTTAGATGTTTGTCAGTGTGTTGACTTTTTCTTGTAAATTTGTGCAGGATGAATATGCACAATGGGTGGTTGCAAGTCAGAGAAGCCTTCTTGAGGTCATGGCTGAATATCCATCAGCCAAGCCCCCACTTGGTGTCTTCTTTGCCTCAGTTGCCCCACGATTGCAGCCTAGATACTATTCAATCTCGTCATCCCCAAGGTAAATTATTCTTTCTTTTTCCTTAAACTGGAAATTGAGTTCATAAATCATAAGAGTTTTACTAGGCAAATGCTATAAGATATAGAGTGGCCTTTTTTTATCTCTCTTTCTGTAGTTATATTATTGTCTTATGTCCTATTTAACGTATTTGTGACCACTGACCATGTACTTTTTACAAATATATTCAACAGGATGGCGTCTTCTAGAATTCATGTAACCTGTGCATTAGTTTATGAGAAGACACCAACAGGAAGGATTCACAAAGGAGTGTGTTCAACCTGGATGAAGGTAATTTACATGTTCTCTTTTTGCAATCTTGTTGGTCAAGAAGAGCATAACAATTTGTTTACTGAGACATCTCGTGCTAAAAAATAGTGAATGGAGTTTTCCTGTCATACTGATTTTAAATATCAGCACAATTTTATAGTGAATGGAGCTTTCTTATGTTTCTTATAATTTTGAACCGATGTAATTTCTTTTTTTCTTTAATCCCTTTGCAGAATTCTGTGCCTTTGGAGAAGAGCGATGATTCTAGTTGGGCACCCATTTTTGTTCGGCAATCAAACTTCAGACTTCCTACTGACACTAAATTACCCATTATCATGATTGGTCCTGGGACTGGATTGGCTCCTTTCAGGGGTTTCCTGCAGGTATTTATTGGATGATTTGATTTTCATTCATTTTGCACACTCTTTATAAGTCTCAATATCCTAGAAGACTATAAGTAACTATGGATTTACTCTTTCAGGAAAGGTTAGCTCTTATAGAAGCTGGAGCTGAACTGGGACCCTCCACATTGTTCTTCGGATGTAGAAATAGTAAAACGGTAAGTGTGCCCTAGAAAAAATCTATTATGGTTGTGGTGTGTGACTGTTGGTGCATGCTGTGTTGCTTTGCTTGTGTAATGTAATTGTGGTATTTGATAATTGATATACTCATAACATTGCAGGATTACATTTATGAAGATGAGCTGAACAACTTCTTAGAAACTGGTGCACTTTCTGAGCTAGTGGTTGCATTCTCACGCCAGGGACCCACCAAGGAATATGTGCAGCATAAAATGACACAGAAGGTTTGGTGCCTTCTCTCATCGACTACCGACCTTCAGTCCTGACATTATTTTTGGTTAATTTGAGAAATTAACGACATGTTTTTGTTTGTGTTCAGGCCTCAGACATCTGGAACATGCTATCTCAGGGAGCTTATATTTATGTTTGTGGTGATGCTAAGGGCATGGCCAGGGATGTCCACCGGACTCTTCACACAATAGTGCAGGAGCAGGTATGTGAATAAGCGTGGATATTAGAGTTACTAGTTTGATAAATGTGGTTGAAATTGTCACCTACCAGTTATGAAGGTCACATAAAAACATAAAACCTTGTGGTTACAAAGAAAAAATAAGATAGAAAAGATAAAAATGAAATCTGTGGATGCAGGACTGCTATTTCATGCAATGCCTGGAACTCTTTAACTTGGCAGGATTGTAATTTCACTAGTGCGGTGAAATCTGCTGGATTATGTAAAACTAAAGTTGGGTGATTTTGAATTTCAGGGATCTCTGGACAGCTCCAAAGCCGAGAGCATGGTGAAAAATCTGCAAATGAGTGGCAGGTATCTGCGTGATGTGTGGTAATAGTTTCTCTATGAAGCCTTCCACCTTGAGAGAGAAGGGAAGTTACAGCTATATCCCTATAAAATATTTATGTGCCGAGGCTAAGTTCGGGTTAAACAATGCTCGTTTCGGATGCCTCAGAAGGAAAATTGCTGGTGTTGTGATAATAGCATTCGGTTCTGCGATTCTTTTTACCCTACCCATATGAAGGATTTTTTGGTTCGTGTAATTTATATATATACATATTATATATATAATAATTAGGAATTAGTTTATGAGCTCTTAATTTTCCTTGTAATGTATGAACCTACAAGAAGGTTCAAATGACAGACAAATGTGGTTTCTTTCCCATCTCTAATTGTGCTAGATGGATCAATGTAGTTGAAGTTTGGTATCCCAAGTACCTTGTTTCAATCTCCTTTATTCAGCTGCTACTGCCGCTACAAGGTTGTCAAATTAACCCCACGATTGGTTGGGGACAAATATGGACAATAGATATGGAAATGTAGACTGCTGTGAAAAAGGAGAAAAAAAACTAGGCCCTTATAATTTAAAAACTCTGGACAATAACCCACCAATAATACAGTGTTTAAGTAAAATTCAATTTTAAATTATTATAAAATTTGTCCATATAGGTTGATTTATTTACAAATCATGCCACTAGATCTTTATTTGGTTGCTAACCGTTTTCCAATCACCTAATTAAGGCAAATGAATAATACCTCACTGCACATTTATGTTTTCACTCTCATAAATAAGGGGCTACAATCAAATTACTTCAAATATTCCCTCCTAACCTCCTATAGCTTAAATAAATGAATTTTATTATAACTAATATCCTACAGTATAATATATATTCTAATAGGTACAATACTCATAGAAAAAATGTGTTGGTTTTAATATACCTACAATATAGCCACACTGGGTACATAATAGTCAATGTACTTATAAAAGTTGGGCAGGTAAATTATTTTCACAATATACCTATAAATGTGTTGACTTTAATATTCCTACAATATACCCATAATAGGTAAATTACAACTTATATTATTGCATAATAGTCAATTATTAGGTAAATTATATTCAAAATGCATTTATAAAAGTTGGTATTATCCTAACCTAAACCCTATTATTTGAATAATAATTAAATTCATACTAAGTACATTATTTTTCGTAAAAAGAAGTAATAGGTACGCTATTTTTTCAACATTAAAATGTATGTATGCTATTATATTTATAAAACAATAATATAATAGATAATTAATCACGTATACTTCATAAATAAATTTAAAAATATTTTTTTATTAAATAATCTAAATTTATTGTTAAATTTTAAAAAAGTTTCCAAATTAATTTATACATCCATTTGGAGATCTTTCCAAATTCAACGTGTGTCATTAGTTACAATCCAATTAAAACTTGTTTCTATATTGGTTTCTACATTAATATACAAAATGCAATAATGGTTTAGTTGGGGGTATTTTAGGAGTAAAAAAAATACAATAAATTCGATTTTGCGCTTGATTAGGTAACTTGACGAGTTGGATCTCAATCATCGGGTTTTATTTAGAACAAATATGATTTTATTCAGACAAAAATAAAAGAGATGGGTTGTAGTTGAGGAAAAATGACTTTCAATGGGTGAAGCTAAATTTACTATAAAAAAAACAACCAACTTTAATCTAGATAGTTTAGTAAATAGTTTCAATGGGAATTCAGATTCTTACTCAATCCAATACCTCTTTAATTAAATTCATCCTCACGCGATTACTGATTAGTAAAAATGCTTATAATTGTGTCTATTTATCCTCAATTCATCCAAATCCGATTACAGATTAGTAAATATACCATTATAATTGTGTCTATTTGAACTAAAAACAATTTGGGGTGAAAGATTCAAACTTGAAACATCTTCCCAAGTACTAACCGAAATTGAAAAGTATAAATTAGTAAAGTTTCTTTTTCAACCTAACTCGAAACTTACATGGAATTAAAACGTTGAGTAATTAACAAGAATTCATAAGCGCCACCATATATAAACAAAGTCAAATTATTTTAAAACACGACTAACCAAATTGACATAGTCACATAGGCCAAGCAAAGCTTGAACATATCAATAGATAGGTTTGGTAAGAAATAAGAAGTTGCCCCAGACAATAAATAAATAAATAAATAAATGAGAACTCAGTGTTAAAGTTATAGTTGTCAAATTAACGAGCTATTGATAATGATACTTCTCTTTTCAAGTAAACGCAACAAATACATAACGAGATTTTAGTTTAGTTAATAAGTACCACTGACAATCAACGATCTCAAATTTTCTAACTTAAATAATATATCTCAGAACTTAAAGAAAAAAACAAATCTCAGATAGCTGCTGATGCATTATAATTTATACTTCCACACAATCTGCCAACGTCTAAGAAATGATCTCGTTATATTAAAAAACAATTTGATCTCAATAATTGGCTTGCTTCGGCTTTGTCATCTTCTTTCAGATCAAGTTATTTCCAAGTAAACGAACTTTAAAGTCTCTTTCGGCCAAAATTTAAAAAAAAAACTGTAAACTTCTCTACGTCAAAATGAGCTGTCCAAATCTTTAACTATAATAAAAAATGAATACAATACCTAAAATGCAGGAAGTTTGGACAAATTACTTAATGAGCATATGATTCAGACTAATTGGCTCTTGGATTATTGGTATTTGTCTCCAATTAATTGGAGTAGGTCTCAGGTTTGACTCACATGAATAATGATGATCATATATATTTGCGACGAGTTTGATAAATTGTGGTGTAACTTTGTTATTGATGTATTGGCATATTATAGAAGTATATTGTAATATCCTATTATTGTTTGTATAAAAAAAAAAGCATAAAATTCAGGCTGCCAAAATTGCTAATTATAAAAAAAGAAAAGTTTAGCAATTTGAACAACTAAAGCAACTAAATAAAAGCAAACCCTGGCCCAGATGTGGGGTTGACAGTTTGCCACCCTTGCTTATTTCAAATAAGAACATAAATTGAAGGGGGTTAGGTAAGCAAGAATTTCAACCACACAGTACTTCACCTTTTAGTCTTTACCTGCAAGGAAGAGTATATCTTACCACCACCAAAAGAAAAAAAAAATCAGCAAATTCAGGTACGACATAAGTAGTGACGCTTATCAATTGTCATTTTTACGTGGACAATGTACATGAGGTTATCTTTGCATTGCAGTTAGCTTTAGCATAAGTTTCAAGGTGACAGGGTGGTACATGTTTGATTTATACGGGTGCATGAGTGATTGTTAGCTGTTGACGGATATCGATGGGTTGTGAGGCCGATCTTTCATTAACAGCTTACAACCACTCATAAACCGGGAATCATTTCTCTGATAGAAATTGGAGCAGAGAGTGGACGTAGATTGTGACATTTTATTTTTCTCATGTTTGTTTGGGTCCTCAGTCTGACGTTTCAATGAGATCAACCTGTAATTTTTCGCGGTTGAGAACTCAAGGACATTCAATCGTGAGCACCAACGTCAAGCAACACTAAATACAATAGGAAGGGCAGGTGTGTGAAACTCTTGAGTTTTGAGGCAAGTTGAAGTGATGGATGAAGTGATTAAAGTGTTTGGTGTAAAAGGGGCTGGCCGACGTGTATGCAAGTCCCACACACATGAACAACTAAATACTGCCCATACATAGAAACCAACTAAATACTTCCCATTCATCCAATTCATGACTACAAAAAAACTGTCGAAACTAAAATTATGGGGCTCCATTTGGTCCACAGAAAAGATTTGAGGGGAAATGAATCTCCGTTTCTTTTTTTATGGAATGAGAAAAAGAAGATTTATTTCCCACCTATGTTTCTTTTCTCATATTTGGTTTGTGCAAGAATAGGAAACCTTTGATGATGATTTGTTAAGAGTTCCTAAAACTAGTATAGTCTTTGTCATTTAGTTTTTGTTTGTTTAGGGATTAATCCCCCCATTTCAAAAAATAAAAATAAAAATAAAAAGAAATAGAAACAAACTTTATTTAGTTTTCCAATTATACCCATAAATTATCAATGCAAAGTAAACTACGGTCGGATAACATTGTCATTCTAAATTGTTAATGTAGACATATATACATTTTTTTTAAACATACATACAGGCCCTTCATAAAGGGGATCCCATTTCATTGTTTGTTTATTGAATTTTGCTCGTGTCATGGATTTGAGCGGATTAGCGAAAAAGCGATTGAGAATTTATGCTTGATCTACATTATGAGCAAAATGATGATTATTATCGCTTTCTTTCTTGCCTTCTCTAATCCAGAAGAATTGGATTTGCATTTGCATCAGTTCTGTTACCATAATGGTGGCCAAGGTTTGAACAGGAACGAAGTACTCACAAAAAGTACCATTAGAGTAGAAGCTAAATGAATCGCATATAGTAAGCTACAACAGAAATCAAATATTTATGAGAGAGAAAATTGTATGCAAAAAATCCAGAAAAATCTCACAAATCCAGGATTCTTAGACATGCTCTAGATTGCAGGCTACATGGGTTAGTTAGGCGGTCTCTAGTGCATACAATTGTAAAATTTTTGTATTAAAATAAGTTCATACATACAGTTAACAAAACGAGAAATGAAGATCCTGCAAAACTTCGTCACATCTCCAAAATAAAGAGTAAATTATGCCGTCTACAGAAATGCTACAATGAACATCCAAATGATGAAATGCTTCAATTTTGGTGCAGTGAATAACTAAAAAGGTTCCATTTCAAATCATATGGTTTTGTAACATGAAAACGGAATGATTCTTGTACAGCGACGAACTGGAGCTCATTTAAGTTTAGAAAACCTTTTGTCAGCTAGGGCCCTTTTAAATGACACGGACATGTCAATTGAACATCCAACGACATCTACCTCTACACATAATACAAATACATCCTAACCACTCCAGGTTAAAATAAAAAAGCAACAAAAGTAGAGAAAAAACTGATTACTGAACTTCTGTTTTGTTCAAGAGTTTCTAGTACTTGCGTTTCGTTCCGTCCTTTAGCAAGACTACTGCTCCAAAGTCCACATCTCAGTCCTGTAACTGTTCAGCTTCTTCAATTTCTTCATCCTCTGGCACCCCACGAAGATAGAGAACATTGTTGCATCTGCAGAGGGAAAGATGAAAAGACTTTTAACTCATTGGAAAACGAATTATGTGGAAGGTTGATGTAAAAATATCCATAGCTTCAGGGAGGAAACAGGTTGTATTGACTAGAGGAAAATTTAGAACTTGAATAATCTACTATGTTCAACTGCATGGTAGTTTGTTACCAAACTCACTAAAATTCCATCTGGTAAAAAGGGAGATTAGAATTCTTCCATAAGACACAATATATTAATTTGAATATTACATCCTTCAAGGAGTT